CCAAGAAAAAATGTTATACTTGAAAACTCTTAATTTTATTTTTTAATTAAAAGAAATATTTTAAACTACAGGAATTAGCCTTGTTTAATTGTTACTTGTTTAATATACAATATCCAAACAAAACAATATGAAAAAAATTGATTTGAAAATTAAAGATTTAGTCTGTTACAGTACAAATTAGTTCTACTTTATTTTAAAATAACAACTATTGCTAGAATACAAAATATATTATTGGCATTTTATCACGTTTACATGTGGTTAAGATTTTCTCATCTCTTTAATACACATTACAAACTTTCACTTGCATAAATATGACCAAAATGCCTAATTGTTTTCTTATTAACTAATAAAGCTTGTAGATAGTATATTAAAAAAAGCCTTTTTCCACATAATATCAGACAAATTGAAATCGTCATTTAAAGCCTAGAATAAATTCCTCGGAAATGTAAAATTTGACGAAAACTCGAAACAACTGATTCTTGTCAGCAAGCATTTTCATAAACATTATATTCAGGTGTGTCTCTTAGTGACCGGTTGTTTCATAATTTGTTGAAGTCGTGAGAAGCGGTCAAGAATGAGGTAGTTTATAAAAACACCTTTTTTATTTGTTTGCCGTCGTTTCGACTTTTATTCGGATCATCTTCAGAGCATATAGTATGGTGCTATTCTTGTGGTGTCGTATTGGTTTTATGTGAAAGTGTTGTGTATTGTGTTGTTCCTCTCGGGTAGAAATGTGTGCCTCTTAGTCACACAATACTTTCACAAGTTGAAGATGACCCGAATAAAGGTCGAAACGTCGGCAAAAAAAATAAAAAAAGGTTTTTTTTTTCTAAACTACCTCATTCTTGACCGCTTCTCATGACTTCAACATATTGTACTCAGGGTTGTTTGTATTATGTTAAGATATTTCTTTTCACATTCTGTGCCATAACTTTGATGTTCTTTGACCAATTTAATATTGCACGATCGCTTTCACTGAAAAAACATTTTAAAGTTGTTCTAGTTCTATGGTATCGTGACAACAAATATTTTTAAAAAGCGGTAAAAATTTAAAAATAATCTAAAGAGAAATTCAGCCGGTACATTTAAAAAGAACGCTCTGTATACATAAACGAAAACACACATTAATTCTACTTTTATACCATTTTATAGGGCAAACATGTTATCTGTTATGTTTTAATCGTTCGTCTTTATTAAAAGCCTTTGTCGTTTTATTTCATTATTTTTAAGTTTGAACAAACTCTGAACCGCATTTACGATATAATTTTTTTTTTAAATACACCAGACCCTGTAACACCCTAGGATCTTTTCTTTTAGGAACACAGTTGAAAATATAAATTTAAATCACTGGAGTGCTTTTTCAGGGTGAAATAATTGGTTTTAGAAAATTGAAATTGGAATAGGGAAATATTTGTAGCCGATTTTAATAACATTTTATATTGAATAAATTATCGCAGTTTGTGATTAATCCCGTTCAAATAACATGTTTGTCGGACAACTATTCTCCCTTTGAACACTCACCCCGATGATGTTAATGCATTTCTAATATAAAATAGGGTAAATAATGATAAATAAAGTTAAAAGTATGTACAGTAGGGGTAAAAATACGCATAATATAGCGTTTATGTTTTGGACGCAAATTAATTCTTGTTTAGCAGTGCAATGTTACTTTTTTCAAATTTAAAAATGAAAAGAAACACTTTGCAATCAAACGTAATTTTTCTACCAGGACAACCGTCATTTGGTCAATGTTTTGTATCTTGAATAATCTGGATCTCGGTATGGTCTGGATGAAAAAAAATCATCAGTTGTTACTGCCAGGCTTTCGACCTAATTTAAGATCATCATCATGAGAATACAAACTTAAACATGTCTACAAATTGACTTAATTAAGCTTTGAATGGACGATTTTCAAATTACTTTGAAGACCGACTCAAAAACGTTGTAAAGGACTGTAACGTGTTAAACTGTATTCATCTTTACATATTAGAACATTTCTGTTTCCCTTGTCAGATTTAAATAACATATTTCACGTAACTCGTACGCCAAAGTTCGTCAGGTGCTTCTACATCTCAAATGCAACAAAAAGTCCCATTATCAACGCTTTCGCATATATTCAACATTTATGATTTTTTTCAACTATCTACGATTTTCTTCAGAAATCTATTAGTAGCTCTTGAACTAGTCATTTTTGAGATATGCTGATGAGATGATATGATATAAAAAATCGTTAAATTTCCTTTAAGAAGGCATCCTTCTACATCTTTTAATTTCAATTTTGGTTATAAAAAAACAACCCTAAATCATTCCGAACTGCTAAGTTTAATAATTGTAAAAAAACTAAATTTGCCACCTCGTTGGAAAAAATTCAAAAAGCGGAAAAATTAGACAAAATATCTACACTAAACACAGACTAAAGAAAAAAAAAAACAATAAAAAAGTTTTAAAACCTAGTTTTAAACTATTAAAAAAGTACAAAAAGAATGAAAAATTCATCGTAAAAATCAAATAAAACACAAAAAATAGATAATATATATACAGGGTGAATTGCTACTCGTGCTACAAACTTCTCCAGTAGATTCTTCACCCTAAAATGAACAAAAAAGTTCATATTGTCCATGGTCCGATTCTCAACCATTTCAGAGTAATTTCGCTTTTTATCGATTTTGAAAGATATCACGTCCTGGCGTCGGAAAATCGTGATATCTTTTAATCTAAACATTTCTCTTAAAATCTATAAGCACCGTTGAAATCCCCGTTAATTTTTAGAGAGAATCAAAATCATAATTCCATTGAAATTTTTTAATTTAATTTAATGCCCATTTAGTATGTAATGCTTAAGAAGTTTACAAACAGCTAGAAGGTCAAGGAAGAAAGACCCAAACGTTTTGCCACCTTCATCTTCTTATTGAAAAATTAACGGGGATTTCAACGGTGCTTATAGATTTTAAGAGAAATGTTTAGATTAAAAGATATCACGATTTTCCGACGCCAGGACGTGATATCTTTCAAAATCGATAAAAAGCGAAATTACTCTGAAATGGTTGAGAATCGGACCATGGTCAATATGAACTTTTTTGTTCATTTTAGGGTCAAGAATCTACTGGTGAAGTTTGTAGCACGAGTAGCAAGTCACTCTCAAACATTAGCAATCCTTGAACCACCATTTTTTCTCTTTTTGTCATCAACATCTTGGTCTCACAACCACTAAATAAGAAAATGACGAGTGCGTTGGAAGCGTTATTAAATCAGGTAGTTTTCCTCAAATTTGCTGCCTTCTGAGACTAAAATTAGAAACTCTGGATTACTTTATACACTTTCCGATTTACACAATTTTCCACTCTTTTTGTAGTTCTGGCTGAAATAAAACACAAAAAATTAGCCCAAACATTTTGCCACCGTCATCTTCTTATTGAAAAATTAACGGGAATTTCAACGGTGCTATTAGATTTTCAGAGAAATGTTTAGATTAAAAGATATCACGATTTTCCGACGCCAGGACGTGATATCTTTCAAAATCGATAAAAAGCGAAATTACTCTGAAATGGTTGAGAATCGGACCATGGACAATATGAACTTTTTTGTTCATTTTAGGGTGAAGAATCTACTGGAGAAGTTTGTAGCACGAGTAGCAATTCACCCTGTATATTGAACAACCAAAGCACGTTCAACTTTTCTCTTTTTTTGGTTAAAGTTGGGTTTTACAAGTTCTTTATTTTTGTTCTTTTTTTCTTTTGTCTATGTTTGTGTCTAATTTATCTGCTAAGGTTGTTTATTGTCTCTTTTCATGGGTTTTGTTTTATTTTTCTTTTTTTTTTGTGCTTGATTATAAAGTTAATGTTGGAAAACAAATTTTGCCCAGGACAAAAAGTTGAATTACTACTGTAACCCTATTCCTCTTTTTTCACACCTTCATCACTTTTTTCCCATTTAGCGTAAAATTTCTGAATTTTGGTTCGTTCTAATTAAAGAAAGAGTATATTATTAAGAAAGGCTTAATAACCGAAGAAGTTGTTATGAAATTTGCCAAGCACTACCTTGAATTTTTTCCAATGATGATGCAAATTAGTTTTTTTCTTACAAATTTGAAATTGATAGTTCTAGAAGGGTGCCTTTTTAAGGGATATTTTACGCTGTTTTAATCTATTTTTTTAGATTTCTCCACAAATGAATAGTTCAAGAGCTAGAGTAGATTACAACGAAAACCGTAGATACTTGAAAAAAACATAAAATCGTGAATATCTGCGAAAGGGGTGCGAATCGGACCACGGTTCATATGAAATTTTATGTTGCATTTGAGGTTTAGAAGCGTCTGACGAATTTTGTCGCACGAGTAGCGAATATTCTATTAAGATGTCCAAGATTTTTAGAAAATTAAGATACAAACCGATCAGCTAGTGAATTTCCTAGGCACTATATTTCATTAGAATTCACACTCACATTCATTATAGATAGGCTTCTGAATTTAGGTAGTCGTTCAATTAAGTATGTTATTTTATTTTATTTTTTCATAACAATTAAATTTTAGTGTTGCCAAATATAATTTTTTCTTTTCCGTGTTGTTAAGATTGTTAAGTCTGAAAATAGCTCAATCTCATTTTTGTAAAAGCTTTTAGAGCATAGGTGAAGATGTGCTTTTATGGGAACTACATAGAATTTTCCGTCTGGCCCAGACGTTGGCAGTAGCTCATCATGGTATAATGGTCTACCAGTTTTACGAGCGAGGGATAAATTTTGATGCATTAAACAATCCGAGTAAAACGTGGGAAAACAAATCTAATATCATGTTAAAAGCCCCTTTTCCCAAGTCGTTATTATCACGTGCGCGTATGTGCGTGATGTGGGTGTGTGTGTCCTTTCCATCCAGTTCTATAGCCACAGAGGCCCAGGACGAAGGCGTCGCAGACTCAACAAGTGTGGTGACAGGTGAGCTTTCGAGGCAAGCTGCGCTTGCGCCTCCCCCTTTCCCTGCTTACATATAAAGTCCCCGAGGCCTCCCGCGCGCTTCAGTCCCTGTACGTGTGTAACGAAATGAAGTTGATTTTGCATGTGTTGGCTTTGTACGTCGCCGTTTCGTTCGCCGACGACGACGAAGTCCGGACTTTGAAAACTCAAATCAATTCCCTTCTCGAGGGAAAGGAGCAACAGGCCCAATTAGCTGAACAGCTTAAAGAACTAAGGTAAGACTTTCCATTTTAGCCTCGTTAAAACTTCTAAATTTAAACTTAAAAAGCTCGATTTTTTAAACTTAAAGCAAAATACACCCATAAGTCGTAGACCAAATCATACCACACTAGAAATACAATAAAAATTTGTATTAACTTTTATCACAATTGCTCATTTTTGCCATATTTTTAACAAAAAGCCTACTGACAAATAAAAATTTATTAATTAATAACTTCATATGTATATGCAGATATGCAAGGGGTTTAGTCTATATTCTAAGATGGGGTATAAAATTTTGTAACCGTATGTAATGACATATGCATAATATAATATAAAACAACACCCATCTTGATAATTAATTAACACTCTTTATTAATATCATATTTTTTTAATAAATCGAATCCAAACGAAAAGAAAACAGATTTTTTTATATATAAAATCCTATGATACCACATATGATAAACATTTTTTAACATACTAAAATACAGGGACTTGAAAGTTTTGAGCAAACAATTGTAAAGTTTGGACATCCAATAATAATAAAAGTATAATATACATATATTGGTTAGTGTCAGACAGAATTAGGTTTTTAAATAATAATTTAAAACTAAAAAATTTCTATTATTTCTATAAATACAATAGGCATATATCATTTATATTCAAATTTTATATCACTTTATTATATATATCATATTATATATATTACGAAATCATTTCAATTTACAAAAATGTTTAAATATATAAATATACAATAAATAAAGTATAAAAACAAATAAATCAAAACTAAGAAAACTAAGTTAAAAAATACTTGAGCATTAAGCAATATATAAAATAAAAAAATAGCTAAAAAGAAGTTTCGTAAGAATATACATAAAAAAGATCACATTTCTAATTGTTATTGTAAATTTTTAAATTGTCATAGTAAATTATTGTAAGATATTTAGACTATTTTATAAATAATATTAAAAAACGATTACATAATAAAAATGCATTGATTAATTAAGTAAAAATAACTATTAATTTTTTCTGGTATAATACAAGTATATAAAATAAAATCACACTAATTATCCAAAATATTGATTACTAGAACAGAAATAAATAGTGAATAGAGTGAAGTTGTTGAACGAAATTAAGAAAATGATTTTTAAAAATATACAATTTTATAATTTTTTCAATGTAGTATATAGAACATATAATTTTACGGCATTGCGAGTGAAATTTGCATTATTTACAATGTCAAATTTATTCCTATTTTTATGTACATAAATTACACAATAATAAATATAAATAGGTGGTAGGGCGAGCTGCCTTAATTTAACAAAGCTTTTTATTATAATTTTCCTGATTTCCAATATTTTCAACATGAAACTATTTCTTGGTTTTAAATATATTTACGTATATATATTCTCTCCGGTACAAAAGCACTAATCTACCTACAAAATTTTTATTATTTATTAATTATTGTTATTTTAAAAATTCAACTTACATTAAAAAATTGGCTAATGTCAGTAAATTTTTTGTTTGTTCATTTAAGAAATTTAAAACCACTAATGTTTGATCTGGTGCTGTATGATATTTATACTCTATTTAAATTATTAATTAACTCTCAATTTTTTAGTGAAGAGGATATAATAAATAGACATATTATTTCTCAAAAAATCGAAAAAGGAACTGAACATTTTCTTTAAAATGGGCTTCATCCCTGATAATTACTTAATATATATTTTAAATATGTAAAGATGATACAAAAATGCCAGTATGAAAAGAAAAATAAGGAATGAAGTAAGAACTCTACATTTGGAATCTTTCTTTATCAATTAACAAATTTGAAAATTAACTTCAGCCTTTCGCAAAGACAGAATACATTACAATGTTTAATATTTTATTATAGGTTTACTGGTGCTAATTCCGTCACCCCTTACATTCTAATATTTCTCGATGTAAACTTTACTTAAATTTTAATTCAAATTGATTGGGTGAGCGGTGGAAAGTGGCAGTTTTTAACGCCATTTTTACACATAAAATATTTCTTTTTTGACTCCTGGGCCACGTCTAATATTTTTTGACCTAGTATCACTAAAAATAGTTTCATTCATCTGTGACCTAAGCCTCACCTTGTAGTTTTTAGGCCATTTACTGGATCAGGATTTAAGGAAATTAACTAAATTTATACTTTAATACAATAACATTACTAAACAAAAATATACGTATAAAAAATTATTTTTGTTGAAACCTTGGTCGTATTCCAAGCCAAATTCGATTATAAAAATATGCATATCATTTACAAAAAGCTGTAGAAATTAAATTCCAAATAGGGTTAGGATTTTTATAAGGTTTACTGTTCAACTGTTGATGACCAAGTTGGAAAAAAGGTGTTAAAACATTAACCCAGTTCCTGGGTCATACTTGCACACATAAAATATCGTTTTTATGTCGTACGAACAAATTGCATAAACACACATAATTTGTGTACAGTGGTTGTCTGTATTATGTAAGTAGTATTTTATATACACATAACAGAGTATATAGATGTCGAATATTTGATATTGTGTGTATAGGGCATAGTATACATATTTGTGTGAATTACTTTTGATTTTGAAATTCTATTTAGCATTATTTGTCTAATTATTTTCGAGTAACAATGACAATGTGTAAACTTAATTAGGCAGTCTGATCTAAGTTTACAGTAATTATGTCGTTCTTTTATTCATCGCGTTTTTTTAATTTATTCAGCGATTATACAAAAGTTTCGTTAATTAATTTTAATAATAAACATGCACCTTATTAAAAGGGGGAAAAAACCTCGACGCTCTATTTTTTTCCACTATGTGCTTTGTATTTAGGTCGTACATTCCGAGTGGAATGTTTTTAATAGATGGTTATCATACAAAATTGTTTAGTTTAGCCACTAAACATGTGGGCACCTCTCATTAGTGCTACACCATTTACACAGCATAAATGCGCGTTTCTGGTTCTTTTAACACACCCGGGCCATAAATCTGATACGACAGAATGGAAATTGAAATCATCACGACAGGCCAATTTGGCCAATTCAAGAAGAAAAATATTTGGATTGTAACTCAATTATTGTCCGCAGATCAATCGTCAATTGATAATTACAACGCCAGTACGCAACACAATCTTAATTCTACCTATATTCCTTCAAAATCTATTCTGAATGGTTTTATTTTCGAAGTAAATAAATATAAATAGAACATGGTGAAACTTATTTTCAATTAAAAAAGTTAAATTGAACATCGCAAAATAAACTTGTTTACGAAAATAATCGTCAATTACTTTCCCAAAAGAATGCAAATCATTAAAACAACGAAAAAGATGAAGATTTACTTCATTATGATGTAAAAAAAAAAGGAGCACCTTTTACTATTACATCCCCAAGAACAAGCATATTCCAACTTTTTATAACAATACAGCATAAATAAATTTGGGATTAAAGAAGAAATCGTTATTCATTAATTAAGAAGAAAATTTTATTCTTATAGGATTTGCAATTGACACAAATTTATTATTGTTCTTCGTGTCTGTTGGTACAACCAATTTATTTTCTAGTATGGACTGAACGGCTTTTAATAAAGTTAAAAGGATTAAAACATTACAGGCAACCATTTTTAAAATCTAAAGAAGCCTTAAAAATCCATTTTATTTTATATCGTACAGTAAATATTACAAAATAAATGCATATGTTATTTTTAGGTGTGTGTTTTTCATCGTTTTTTATTTATGTTACGGTGTAACTGTGTTATTATCTTGTAATTCATATGGTTCAGCTTTATTTCTGCGAAGTGTTGGCCAAAATCCAATAATAATAAATAAGTCGGTGACACATTTTTATAGCTATAGAGAGGGATTCGGACCTGTGATTTGGTCATTATCGATCTATTGGTTTACCTATCCTCGATGTCCTGTCAAACGCTTTATGGCATTTCGCCATCTTCAGTGTGTTGCACGATGTCAAACCGCATTTGCCAGACCAAATGAGAAGGAATAGAGTAAACAAAATAATCAGTTATGACCGAATTTCAAAACAAATAAAAAATTTTAAAATTTTTACTGAAAATTCACAAGGTTTACGACCGAATTTTCTGAAAATCTTGGACAGAAAATATACATAAATCAAACGATGCTTTTCTTAGAAGAAAAATTCGATGTCAATTGCCAGTTATTCTGAATTTATTTCCACCATTAAATTTTTACAAAAATTGTATTGATAAAACTTAAATGTTACAATTCACATATTTTTTTACCATTACAATTCAATAAGAATGAATGAAAAATATATACAAACAAATATATTTAACAAATTAAGCATTAAAACAGCAATGCAAACCACAAATACAATCCGAAAACCCTTGAGACAAATTGACAACGAGGACCACTTGACAAAAATGAGATATATCCCATAACATGCGAACCCGGAGTTGAATCAGACTGTATGAAATTTAATTGAAAAACATATAAGATCATTTAAAAACAACTACGGAACATCAAACTACAGTCCAGCGTGAAACTACTCCACGTCATACAACAAAGGCGAAAAAAATGAACATTCTCGAAAACATGAAATTATACAAGCCAACACTTTACACGCTAAAAAAAGCTGAATTAACAATTCACATACATCATTTACACCATTTAAATAAAATTATACTAATAAAAAGGATGCGGAAAGGCCGGATGGAATAATAAAAAAACCAAGATTCTATAAAACAATAAATAAAAAAGAAATGACTTCACAAACCACTGAACACCGAACATAGGGAAATGCCAAGACCCATCGAACAGACCAAACCAGGAATGAGGCAGTCCAGGATGATCAGTAATTACCAAATTACAGAAAATTCGCCAATAAGAAATATGTAAACAGATGAAATAGTTCTTGGAAAAAAACATAACAAATTAACAAGGAGAGGCAGATCAAAAGGATCGGTAACGACCAAATTACAAACAAATAACTAAATAAGAAACAATAAAAAAACTAAAGGAAAAAACAGGA